GTGGTCGTAGTCTTTGTCTCATAGCTTTCTCTGCTTCCCTGTTTTGAAGTTCGTGGCAACGGCAGGGGTTGAAGAGACTCCGAGTTTGGCCGCTTGCAGTAAGGCAGACCTTTGGTCCGGCTGCATAAGTCTGTATACGAGAGACAGCGGAGATACGAAAGCGGACAATGCCTGAAAGCTGCCTTGTAGAAGCAGGCCTGCCGTCTCTTCGTCGTGTTGTCGCAGAAGCTGGCCTTCGAGTAGTCCGTGGGAGACTGCCAGGAACCGCTTCTCATTCTCCGAGGATAGAGAATACCAGAACTGGTCATGGTATTCGTCGTTCGGTCCCACGTGTTCCGAGACATATGGCAGCCAGGCAGCAGTGATCTTGTCCAAGCATGCTCGCCGTTGAGAAAGGTATGGGCGCACGGTGTGTGCGACCTGCTCTGGTTCCATGGTGTCGAGCCTCTTCCTGAGCCAGGCCAGCTTAGAGGATCTGACCTTGTTGGGGACGCCCTGATCGCCCATGTCCAGAAAAACCAACTCAACACCAATGTGCCTGTAAATTTCATGTGCATAGCTGATCCACGTTTCATTCGAAGTGTTCCAAGGTTCTGCTTGCTGCATGCAGTCTTGTTGCCTGAATGGAAGTGTAAAGCAGCGGATACTCAAACGCCAAGAATCCTTCGACCTGATGATAATTGTCCAGCGGTAGGACCTCTCGTGCAAATTCCAGCAGTTCAGTTCCGGTTAAATTGCGCGTAAGGTCCAGTGCCAGGGTGTTGATGCTGATCTCCGTGGCTCCAGATGACTTAATGTCAAAAAGATACTCTGAGATTTCCTCCAGGATTCTACACCGCAGATGTTCCACAGGAAAAATTGCTGCCACGAGTTGCCGCCGAAATGGCAGCAAGGAGGCGGTTACTTTACTTCCAAAAAGATGTGAAAAGAACAATGAATCAAGTAGGCTGGGGACCTTGTACTAATAAATGTGGAGACGACCCCGGGGCACCACACTGTGAGCCCAGATGCTTGACAATGATGATGATGATGATGATGATGCGGTGGAGGATGAACATTTCCAGAAGTCAGCGCTGGAGCTCATAAGCGAAAATTGGCGATGCGGGGCACGACGCCGTAGTTGTTGAGTCTGCGTGGTAGGAGTTGCCACCTAAGGTACTTCACCGCAAGATACGAGGATCCGGGCAGTGCAGTGTAGACTGCGAGAACAGCTGTAAGAGCAACTGTCACAGTCACAATCAAGCGGAACACTCATAGATATTTGCCTCTTCCTAGTGACCAGTCGATAGCAGGAAGGCCTAGTCCAACTCAAAGCCCGATGGATTGTTGTAGTCCTTGTTGTGACAGTTGCGGCTAGTCTCCGTTTTTAGTGAGTCTCTCCCTGCTGGTGCCTGTCAACTCTTGACAATGCATATCTCTTCGTATGCTAGAATACGGGTTATGCTTGGCAAGTGGTCCTTCCAGCGCTAGGATTTCATCGGCCTGCCTTCCCCCCGACGAAGCGCGGATGACTTCGTTTCTCGCTTTCGATTCCCATCGCTGAAGGCCTTGCTTCATAAGATCTTAGACACGACGAGCAACAACCGCAATAAAATCAGCAACAATTTCAGGAGGGGTTGCCATAGGGCTGCTAGCCCTTGCTCAGCTGTTGATTGGAGAACGGCAGCCACCGCTCCTCTCTCCGCTGGAGCATTTCACAGTGTACGTCTTGAGTTGTGAGCAGTATCATGTGCTGCGGGTCTTGGATTCCAGTAAAGAATTCATTCTGTCTTCTTCTTTGGGAAGCTTCCGCCAACAAGAGAATCCCTGTAATGAACGGCTTGAAGCCAACAAATACAAGAGCCATGCTTACATGAATTGCTATGACTGGAAGATGCTCTGCATTCGTTGTCGTTCCCATGACGAATATTCGGGTGTTTTAGTTTTGAACTTGGATGCCCCTGAACCCGAGATAATGTGTTCTCGGTGTTGAACTCCTGTGTGAAGCCTATCGCCGCTCAACCTGAAATCCTGGTCTCCTTATATGTGTATATGTGTATATCTCCATATGCATGTATAGTCATACAGTCATACATATGTACGTACTTTCCCTACTACAAGATGTATAAATTCTTCCTGTTGTGACCAGCATTTCTCTTACTCGTACCTTGGGCATTTTTAGGAACCCTCCCCAGAACTGCACCAGAAACCCTTTGAGGTGTATTAATTTTGTGGTTCTTACTTCGTGTGTTTTTGTGTTGTCATGATTGACTCCTCCGTTACTGCAATGTAATTGACAACAGAACTAGCAGGGATAGTTTCGCTAAAGCGTGCACTGTTTTGGCACAATCGTAGTCGCACAATTTAATGTCACGATTTGTCATTCATAGTAACAGTAATAGAAGTGCAAACAAAGCAGTGGTAGCGTTTTGTGTGCCACTGGAAGGCCGCACTGCGCCAGACGTCGGGCATGGGCGCCATGGCATGCGCAGCTCTGGGCGGCGTCGCTGGCATGAAAACTTTATTGCTAGAGTGCTTTAAGTACTACAGCAATATAATACTACATAGTTGCGTCGTACTTTTGCTCTATAGTACCATTGTAATATATTAGTATTGCAGTGTCTTCATTCCGCATCCCTGTTGGGGCCCAGATTGCACGTGCCATTAGAAACTCCGCCGACGGTCTTGATTGATGGGAATAGATTTGGGACAGAGGATGATCTCGGGGGGACGGTGGTTAAAAGCAGCATCTGCTGCCAGACTGATAGAAAAACTCGTCTATCCCTAGGTGAGGTCTGGGATGTAGAGTACGTACAGTCCAGCCGTGAGCGCTGATGATCCTACATCCCCCTCTTTTTGTTGGGGAGCTATCTAGGCTGACTTCTTGCTTCCTGTAGGTGTCGGTGGAGCAAGTCGGGCGTTTGCACGGTCCTATTCTATCACAGGTTCATGCGGCTGGGTCCGGTAATCACTATGCAATCCTCCTTGTCTTTCCCCTGATCCCAGCACCACCGTTCTCACCAGCATTGACGTCCCCTCGTCCATGCGCCATGCATCATGCCAACCATTGCCATCATGGTCATCAGTGTTGCCGTTGCTGCCATCACAATGTTTTCTCCTTCCCATCAACATCACCATCGACGCCAAGCATACCATAGTCACATTGAGTGTTACTAAGAGTTGCTTCCTGAGCTCAGCATCTCCACCCTATGCTATCTGATTCTCAACATCTTCAATTCTGAGGCATGATCCTCACTGCATCATCTTTTCCATGCCCCCAGCATACGCGCAACATGCCATCTTTGGATGATCAACCATTGCTCCCCGCGTTCCCGTCCAGATGTACTCCGCATCCTCATAACCATCTGCAGTGCCATCAGCATCATCATCTTGGCCAGCCTCATCATCGTCATTGCTGCCATTGTAGATGTCCTAGCCGCATCACCATCATCATATTCTCCGTCTTCCTTTCTCTCCTCATCATCAGCATTGTCAGAATTGTCTCATATCTGCATCTTGCATTCTTGCATTCTTCCTCCTCCTGGTCCTCCTGCTGCTCCCCCTCATCCTTGTCTCCGGCCTCCTCTTCCCCCTCCTCGTCTCGCTCTTCGATGCCTTCATGGATTTCCTACATCTCCAAAGGCAGCAGCATCTGCTGCTGCTTTGCATCACCGGCATCCTGCTCCGCTCTTTTCACGAGTGTCATTTGCAATCAGCTGAAAACCTTTTTCTGGCATCGGAAATCAATGACCAGGCAGCATCCTGTGCACGGCTAGCCTTCGTTTGCTTGAACCATTGATGCCTCGAACTAGAAGCATCCCCTGCCTGGACTTGGTACAAAATTTCCAGGACTTGTGCGAGAAGGTGCAGGGATGTAATCCTTCAGATTTATCTTCAAGGGTTCGCCTACTGGAATTGCAGCCACCGCGCTTTCGACCTCGACTCCCCAGGGCTAGCTTCCAGGTACATCAGGCTCAGAGCTTATTTGCATGGCGTCTTCGTCATGATGAGAGCCTTTGTTGCGCATTCATCTGTGAGTCGAGCTTGCCTAGGATGCCGCCCTTGTTCGCCGCTTGGCACTGGAGGGTGCGCCAATTCAAACGCGGCTCAACGCAATCCCGGAGGCACGCCTGCTCTTTTAGTGTAACCTCCCCATCTCAGTTTTGAAGACATTTAGAACGTTCTCTTTTGGAGCCGAAGGCAAGCCTGAAATTTTGGTAGTACGGTGAGGGGAAGGAGCCAGCCCCTAGCGGCTGCTCAGCTGTTCGCAGCATCTCCCACCGAAAGTAGCGCCCGTGCTGAGTGAAGGTCGCCGTGGAAGTTGGATGGACTCCACTACATCTGGCAACCATTAGGAGGGACGAGCTTGTTTTGGCCGAGCTCCTTCAGCTTCGCGCCAATCCCAACTGCACGGACAGCCTCTTGAACATGCCGGTGCCCTCGGCTGCACTTCCGTGCAGCAGACGTGGCTGCACAACAATGTACTTGTACTTAGTATGAGGCCAGCAGGCACTAACGCAAGTTGCTGCTGAGATTAGAAATTAAAATGTTCAACTGGTCGCTGGGTACGGAGAATGAGCCGATCGGCAACCTGGCACCAGCCATCACCAGCACGCGTTCAAGCACTTTGACACGTTCTTGCTGACTCAGGTGCTTGGACTGTGCAGGACACCCTCAGCTGTCAGAAAGTTCGTAGAGCACAGGGCGGACGTGAATCTGAGGCCGTCTGCAAAGAGCCTGAAGCCATTTTGCGTTGTGTGCTTGCAGTCAAGCCACTGATGCCACCCTGCAGCAGGCTACCTCCATGCTACCAATCCCCGCTGGCCTTGGCATGCAACCGTCAAGCCTCAGTGGCTGCCGCTCGTTTTGACATTTCCTTTAATGTTGATCTGTGCCACATGCAGAAGAGTGGCAGGTCATGAAAGTCAAGCCAACTTCAAAATCTGGAGAGCGCTAGTAAGCGGAGCAGGAAAACAGCAAGCATTCAGATCCACATCAGGTCACTGCGGAGCTCATCAAACTTGGTGCCGAAGTGAACCCGCGCCTCGCCTCAAGACATGAGCGACCGCAGCAGGGCAGCAGGGACAGGAGCTGCCCGAGCGGAGCCCTCCAACGCTAGCGAAGTGCACGGTATGTATGCGCGATGTGGTTGCTGTTCCACCATGCCGACAGCAAGGTCGTCAAGTGGTGCGGGCATGGGACCCTTGGCATCCCTTGCAAGCACGGCCACCAGCAACCCTCACTGTCTGGACCAGTTGGCGTTGCTGATCAAACAGAAGGCCAGCATGCTAAGCGGCCCCGACACGGGAGCCAGAGGGGTAGACTGAGCGCTTTTAGCGTGATGTAGTTGTTGCCATGATTGCTGCAAACTAGTCTTAAGGATGTCGGAGGTCCAAATTCTAATTTCCTCCTTTTGCGGCTACTGCTCTTGTCACCGTGCTCATGGTGTCCCAGGCAGACGTCAACCAGCCTTGCAGAACCAGCGGCCTCTTCCTTCTGCTCGAATGGTTCTGTCGTGCGCACATTTCGTTGGTGCAGGACAGGGCGATTGCTGGGCTCAAGTTCACAGCAGACATGAGCACCACAGCCTTGGGTCACGCGTGCTTTTTCGGTGCGGATCGTATGGTGCAGTTCCTCTTGGATGCAGATGCAGACCCCGAAGTTCGAAACAAGCGCGGACGCACGCCGGCGCAGATGGCGCGGCATGCGAGTGTTAAACGCACCCTGCACCACCATGCAACCAGCTTTTCGATCTGAGGCCGCTTGTCGCGGCATAGAGCAACTCATTTTCTTGCTGTCCGAGCCCCACTCGATTCCTGGATATTTAAGCGCGGACTGATTGGCCAACGCGGTTCTCAAGTAGTCTATAAGCATGCCTGCGTCATGGTACTGTGGCAGGCCGATTGCCTACTGGGACTATCTTATCTTGGCCGTAATTCCAGGCATTTGCCACAAAGTGGCCACATTATTCTCAGGAGTTTATTATTTGCAAAAATTTGCAATTGTCCAAATGATTCACCTCCTGCAAAGACTTGCCCCTTGAAGCAATAGCTGCTCTCAGAGCGCAGCTCGAGCAAATCTGCAGGGGGAATCCCAGTTTGTGACATTTGGGAGCAACCGGGTAGGCCCCTAGGACATTCAATATTTTCCCTAATGGCTTTAATAGGGGACGCTATACATAAACATTTTTCAAAGGGTTTAAGGGGCCCACCCAGGCAAGTGTTTGAAGTGGCGAGCCGCCCAGTCACTAGTGGAGTCGTCATCTTCAAGGTTGACCACGATGCAGGTGTCAGTTGATATGTGGATGCTTAAGCTGTGAGGGCGGCCGCCAATCCCATGTGTGACACTCCCTTACAAAGATCAGTTCTGTTGCAGCAAGTGGGACTTGCTGTCTGTGCACGCGTGTTTAATTACATCCCCTAATCAAATCCCCCAACTCCGTCTAACTCTAATACCTATCCCTTAAGTACAAAGTTATGCTACATCATGTACATTTGTGAAAAGGGGGCTGGGGGAATTGGTAGGGGAGGTGATTGTTGTAAGTATGTGGCACATCTCTGTGCTGGTATTCGGTGCCTCTTGCTGGAGGAGCCAGAGGCATTGAATTAAGTTGCCTTCCAGATGGGCTAGAGATAATGATCGCTGCTAAGCAGCATTTGACCCTCGTTGGTTGTCGGCTGTAGCATTGCGCAGCTCATATATTGATGGAACTACAGCGGAATGTGAAGCTCAAAAGAGAACAGTGGAGAAGTCGTGCCTGTTGTATATGTTTCAGTTAGCACAACTTCGTACCAACAAAACACGCAAGCCTGAGAAGGAATTAGTGTCGTGCAGAGTAGCCCTCCAAGGTTTTCATGATTGCTGCATAGTGGAGGAATGTTGTTTCTAAGCACAGATGTTTCCCGGCAGCTCGGCCAGGTTGTATGGGCCTCTGGTTTTCGACGCATGTCGGATGGTGTCCTGCGAGGGTTGCCAATATTTGGTTGAATTTTTTGACGCGATGCTCCTGCCACAGCCTTTGATGCGATGGGCAAATGGGTTGCCTTTTTAATCAGCGCAGAGCTGAGAAGACAACGCCCTTTTAAGAATCCCCTTTTATGCTACTTGACCTGTTTAGTCGTCACGGGCATGCAGGCAGTTAAAAAAGCGCCCGAATGCTGCTTTCCTGAGCCTCCTGGTGGAGTTGCTGGCTGGATGAACAACTGGCTCTGAGTCGAGCTTAGCTGCTTAGCTTTCGCATCTTCCCATAATTGTGGGTCGCCATCATAGAGAACAGTACAGGCCTTTTCCCAGCTAGCTAAGCGGTTTGTGACACTCAGCGCCTATTTCGTTCATGTGAAAGCATCAGGCGCGACACCTCTGAGCAAGCAGTTCCACTGTTTCACAAGCCCGAAGGATAGGAGGGCGAAGAGTCGACCAGACCGTCCAGGAAATATTGGACCTGGTCTCCTGCCGAAAATTTGCAAGACAAAGGGTCAGTCAATGGCAATGCAGTGGAAAGCCGGACACTTCCTTGAGACAGCAGTCGCGCAAATGTGTGATGACCGATTCTAACCACTTCACCTGCATGCCTCCAGCCAGGCTGGACTGCCCACCAAAGAACATGCGCATGTTGGCTCTAGCAGCCTCCAAACACAAGATAGCAGATTAGAGCATGACACAGACATACGCCTGCAATGCATGGTCCTTCTTAAAATGCGGCCAACTAAGTAACTAAGCTTGTGCCAAGATGTAGGAAAAAGCATGAGTCCTTTGCAAGACGATCCAGCTCCATTGACAGACCAAGAGGGAGGTCTTGACTTCGTTCGGCCAACAATAACTTTTCTTGAGCGGGATGGGATTACATGTGCCTTTAGCCATGTGATGCGGCACGCGCCTTTCCAAGAGACTGCTTTGACCTCAGCAGCCGATTTTGTCCTGAGAGGAGATCTTGTGATCTGCAGAACGCGTTTGTCAGCACTCCCAGCTACCTTGCTGCCTACCTGGCACCTACAGCAGTATGCTAAACCTAAAGAGCTGGACAATGCGGCAGCGTTTGGGAGGGAGCAGCGTGCCCAGCAGACATGGCATCTTGCAAATGATTGTGAATGCTATGTTGTTGAGCCTGTCAGATCATCTGCTAAGGTTTCTGCCAGAGTCGGTGGTGGCTTCATTTATCGAAGTAGCCGCGCCGAGGAGAAGTGAAGCTTCGTTCTCTTGCCATTCTGATGTGAAGCTGCAGGCATGGTGAGTAATTTTTTTGGAGGTGGCAGGATAACATACGGAAGCGCCCGGAATGTCGTAACAGAAGCGTGGAAACATTTTTGCGCAGATTTCGGGCCGGATTCGGGCAGACTGAGAGCCTTCCAGGACTATCCTCATCGCAAAAACGAGCGGCGCTGCGCAAGTAGTGCCTTGTCAATTGCTGGGGATAAGGCTTGCGTTGAAGAAGCTCCTGAATCCTCCGTGCTCATCCCGGCCTTCTTGTAATTCATCTCACAGACCCCAGCATGCTTTGAGATCACTTTGCCCAAGTAGCCTGCCGGATCACCAAACACGGAGCACTTCAACATGTTGTCATGGCGTGCTGCACAGGCTTCTATTGTTGTAGCCTAGAGAATTTCGACCTGAAGCCTGGAGATGCCTGGAGATATTTCCAGGCTCAGACAACTCACGCATCATGTCTGGCGTGTAGATCTCAGGTCCTGGCTTGCGGGCCGCCGGTGCAGTCTATGCTCCTCGGGGATCCTTGCCAGCACCACAGCACCATCAATCTTGCAGGCTGATGGCATGGTGTTTTAAGTTAAGCATGCCACGCGAGATGCAGCCGCCCTCAGCTCTCAGGGGTCAGGACAGGCTTGAGCGTCATCAGAAGTTGTTTTCTGTGATGCCCCAGTGGCGAAGCCAAACTGCCACAAAAACTGCTCACAAAAAAATGATAAGATGAAGTGTGTGCCGCTGAGCACCTAATCCTGTGTCTTCCTCCCTATATAACACATTCCCTTATTCTTTATTTGTGGTAATGTAGGGATTAAGGGGACATATATTTAGGGTGAGAGAGAGATGGCTGGGAAAAAGGGAATGCAGTCTATAGCATTATATAGGGATGATGGGAAAGAAAATGGCAATTACTACATTATAACAAAGTATATATATACATGCATATATAGGGATTATATAGGGATCACAGTCCTGTATCCCCTACTAACAACCAGCATTTTTTTGGCGCGATCTTGGTCTCAGGGAGGCATGCTTGCTTCAGGAGTCGTGGTTGAAGCCCGGCTCGAGATTTGGTTGTATGCAGGAGTCATGTCCGAGTTTTCAGTTCAATGCTGGTCGCAAGGAAGATCCTCTGGCGAAGCTGTCGTAGATGGCTGTTGGTCTGAGCCCTTTGACTTCGTGCTGTGACGGCTTGCATGCAGCATGCAGGCAACATGTAGCGAACAGTTGTTGCCATTGGCTCGTACAACACATGAGGGCCAACTAGATCAGAGCACAACAGATGTTGGCTCCGCATCAATCATGAACTGCAGGAAGACGGTCTCGCACCAAGCAGACACCCATAATATTTGGGACATGGGGTGTAGAAACAGGGCAAGCATTCTTCAACTCACTCCCGCGCAAGTGTGGTTGCAGTACATTTGTACATAAGGCACCCCGCATTTACAGGAATTCTGATTCTATCGCGCATCGCATGGCCATCGATGTGCAGGGTCTGAGCTGCAGTTCGGAGACTGTCATGTTGCCCGAATCTGCCCAAGCCTGCGCAAAGTCCCCGTGGCTGTGGGCTATTCCTGGATTGGGGGCTCTCTGCGGAACGGTAACAATTGCCGCCGTCTACCACACGGCAGCCCGGCAAGGCCATCTGCCAAAGGGCTCCAGCACACCCCCCATCTCCTTCCTTGGGATTATGGAGCCAGACTCTGGGCTCTGAACCAAGGATTTCAAGGGACGGTAGGGATCGGCTCAGAGCATTGCGGGTTGAAGATTCTAAAGCCCAGGAACACACCATGTACCAGCTCGGCTTTTTGGTGACGGGGCTGCTGTTGGCCGTAAGTGTTCGGCTATGGTCAGCAGTCTTCGCGCCGCTGCTGACCACAGCGGGCTTTCAGCAGTGTGCCAAGGATGCAATGCCATCTGCGCATTGTTTTCGCCTTCTCAGATAAATATTCCCATCTTCTTACACTCTTGCACCTGCCCAGTAGCAGATGCTCACTTGAGATGCCTTTTCGTTTTGTTCTAAATGCTAGCATGAGTAGTGCCCCGGCCGCGGATGAAATACCTCGAAACCTATCAACTGCGACCCCAGGTCCAGGATGAATTGGGGTGGGAACACATACCTTTCCACTGATCATTAGATCCAGAAGCCCCAGACCCACGGCCTCTGTGGATCTTTTGCACATAACTTTTCACATGCTGTTTGAACTTGATGAACACAGGCCATTCTCAAACTTATGGGCCCTTCTTGGGTCATGATTTACATTATTGCGGCACCTAATATTTAGGGGTACCAAAATGGGACCCTAATTTTGGTAACTACCCTAAAGTTTAAAGCCTAGACCCTATATAATCCTTATATAACCCCCTCATTTTTGGGAACTACCCACATCCTAAACCCTAATTTTGGGAACTACCCAGACCCTAAACCCTAAACCCAGGTGCATACTATGGCTGGTTGGGCGGCTGGTTGGCCAGCTTCGGGGCCGTGGCACGGCAGGAGTGGAATGGACAGCGAAGGAAGTTTAAAACTGAGTAATGCCATCCCCCGAGAATCTCTGGTTGTCTATCACTGATCACTTCTTACATTTTCCTCTCTAAAACAAGTACTAATGTGAAAGTATTTCTCAATTCCAGGAGGAGATTGAGACAAGAAGTAATCATCATGATTAGAACTTTTAGTTTTAAACATGTTCGCATGATGGGCATTATGCCCCCAAACCTTTTTGTTTTTGCAAGAAGGTTAACACCATTTAACACCTATATCAGGGACAGAACAGCGTAGTGTCAACCAGAGCTTTGTGCTCAAATGTTAGGTTAGGCGCTTACTGAGGCCAGCCAGGGCCTCGTGACACTTGAGCACGGGATCCTGGAGAAGATCGAATCCAATGGCAGCGAGCTCAGCATACAAAGAGCCCTGGAGGCACTTGGAGGGCTTCAAGTGTTGTGAGTTTCAGTATTTAGGTTGGGTGAGGTCCAAGCAACTCCTTAAGCAGGCAGCCCTCATTGCAAAAGAGGCTCTCCACATTCTGGAAGTGGAGCAAGTCTACCTTCGCTGGAGATGTTGCAAATTGAACATCTCTTTTAGGCTGCAGATGTCAGACATGTGGCTATGCGCGGCGCTGTAAAGCCGAGTTGTGCGAATCTCAGGCAAGCTTCACCAAGCCTTTGCCCTGTTCTTCTTCCTGGGCTGCATGATGCATTGTTGCTGGACTGTTTTCGGCAAGTTTAGCGTCAACAAACTTGTTTGATGAACAACATGCCGCACCTGTGGCCCGCGACATTGCAGATTGGGGAAGCAGCATTTGCCGACCCGTTGCTCCTGTGTTCATACTCTGACGGCAAGGCTTGGCAAGGATACAGCACGAGAGCCTCATCAGCCTCCAGATCCTGCTTAACTTTGTAGTCGAAGTTTCAGACCACAGACACTTAGATGCTCAATCAGACTACTGCCCTGAGCCTCAGGCTGTTCCATGACATACGCGGCCTTTTGCTGTGGAAACCCTGCCTTCGCTCAATTGGTCGGGCTTCCTTCGAGCAGGTGGCCAAAGGCTGGCGGCCAATGATTGAGTCCTTGCACCCAAGATACTAGGAGAATTATGATAGCAAGACTTTCGCTCATGCCCTCCTGCCACCGTTCCTATTCTACTGCTATCCCCATCATCACAGATCGTTCTTCTGTTGGCTGCGTCTTCCTGCCCTGTCTGGAGCAAAGTTTGTTTGAATGCGCTTGCCAGTTGTGAGATATGGAGGCCGTGGCCGCGGCCACAACATTCATCTCGGCACCTTTGGCAGAGGCCTTGCATCCATCCAGGTGCGCGGCTGTTGCAAATTGAAGCGCACACTCCTGATGTATTGGGCAGTAGCCACTTGCGGCACGCGGCAAGCCCTAGACATGAAGCACTGGCGTATGGCATGTGTGCCTGCTGCTTGATGTCAGGGGCCTGGACTCAGATGCTAAGCATAGCTTTGACGTGGCAGGCCTGGCCCAGTGGCTTGGCTGAGAGTTGCTCAGACACATGTGTAGGGTTGCAGCGCAGAGGAACGAGGCAGTGGACATCTGCTCCTAGGCACATGGAGTTGGGTTGGATGTAGTGTCTGCAGCCTAGGTACTTCTCTGTTGGCCGCCTGGCAGCAGGCATGCAAAATGGCTACATGCCGGATGATTGTCCGCATCGAGCAAGCCACACATGGGCTGTCACACGCTGTCACACAGTTGGTGCTCTTCGGGACGTCTTCGCCACGTGACGCCCGAAAGAACCCGAGGTATGTACATAGTCTTCTTCGGGCTCTACAGTCCCTGACTCAGTTGGCACTTGAGGCTGCGAGCTCTTCGACAGCAGGGCGTTAGAGAGTTAGTGCCTGTCGCCGGTCAACACGTGCGTTTAGGCGTTCTCAATCTAATTCTTTTTGGAACTCCACTCTGCTGCTAAGAGGGCTCTCAAATTTGTGGCCCCCGTTCTCGCTTTCATGGCGATCTGTTTGGGGGTGTGTGGAAGGACCCGAATGTTCAGGCGCAGTAATCCACATGGTGCTATGTCGGTCTCCTTCCATGTTTGAGCTCTCCATCGTGAATGCATCCGTGTGAGCCACACATCCGTCACAAATCTACAGCCAACTCCCATTGCCAGGTTAGTGCAAATTTTACCATTGCTTATTGCATTTGTTGCGTTCATTTGCCTTGCTGCCACGGCGAACATAAAAAGTTGCATGAGGTCTCGACTTTCATCGATTGCGGCAGCTGGCGAGCAAGCCGAGGACGAAGTGACGCTAAGCCACCGGAAAACTTGCGAGCGCTTGGGAACGGAGGATGTGGGGGCATGTCAGATTCGGCGCTTCCAGTAATGACGGTGACATCCGACCCAAGCGGACAATGACATCTGATTAATGGGGCCCTTGGATTTTCTCTCTGGCCGCCGCGGGTCATCTTTGAGTTAGGCATTGATGGTTTGCCAGGGGCGGGATGAAAGATTTCTCAGCCTGCAAGGAATGCGCCGCGTGAGATTTTCTAGTTTAGACTCCTCGGAGACGGACTATGATAGCTTTGGGGTGTCTATGTGGCGATCCCCTTATGATTCATTATCTCAAGGAGATTTGGTAGTTTCCCCTACTCAGGGCACCCCCAAAAGGGACCCCTAACTTTGGGAAACTTCCAGTATCTAGGAGTTTGATCTACAGCTCGTGCCTTCTCTGGCTCAGGCCTGACGCAGACTTTGCAAATCACCGTCTGAGGGAGGACAGCGGGAAAGCTGATGGGAGAGCGCTTCTAGGGTGGAACCTCCAACTGTACGGGAGCTATGCATGGAGCTAACATGGACTGAATACCTGATAATACCTGCATAGTTTTGGATATTATTCATTTATTAGACTTTCATTGGCCATGAACTGCCCTAAACGCCGTGGAGAACTTTGTGAAAGGTTACTCCGCTTTGACAAGGCCGCCAGTCGATGTAAACAGAAGCATGTGGCCCACGGTCACTCCTGTTTATTGCTACCGGCATATGTGAACTCATGTCTACCCAAATGCACAGCGAGGAGCGCGATACACGCGATATGTAACAGGGGCATACAAGGGGTTCAGCCTGCAGGCCAGTGGCCAAGTGCTGAAGTTATGGGACACATTGTTTTTGCTCATGCTTCAGCACTGGCCCAAAGAGCTGTGGTCGGGGCTTTCGCCCGTGCCATGCGCAGAAGTTCATTTTTCCAAGCCGTGCGCCCAGCTTACCCCATGCTCATGCCAGTGCCTCAAGATGGTTAGGATCGGTCGCATGATGCATCATACAGTGCTCGAGACATCGCTGAAAAATGCTGAGAATCATGAGGTCGTGGATAAGCCGGATTTTCACTTTGATTCCTCTGCAAAGCTCGCTGTCAAGGCCTTTGCCTTCTCTCAGAGACACTCCGAAGAACCATGCCGCCGAGGGGGATGATGCCTCGTGGCACAATCGTCTTCTGAAGTAGGTGCCATTCAAATATTCCAGAATGATAGCGTCGCGCATGCGCAGTTTGAGTTCTGCTGCCACTTGCATGTACGAGGCAGCTGCATGCCTTGGACCTACAAGACGCATGTGTTGTGATTTGAAGCTTTAGCAGGAATATCCTCTAAAAAAAGCGAGCATGAACATGGCCTAATTGGCCTGATTGACAAAGAGCTCTGCCCCAAGGTGATTAAACATTATGTTGTCAGCCTTTCAGTTGCTTCTGCTCTAAGGTTAGAGATGGATGACGTGGACAGCGACAACTCAGTGTCCATGACATGGGAGATTGATCCTGCCAGCGGCACCATGCGTCACAAGAAGACAGGAACAAAGGTCTCCACTGATTCAGGCATCACGCGCCTCGGCCAACTTAATCTGTCAGAGCAGTCGAAGATAATGCAGCATCTTTCCTCTTGTGAAGGAAGGACGGAATCCTTGTAGTAGTCCCAATAGAAACCCCCATAACATGGTAGTTTCGATTTTCGTTTCCACTCCTTCATCTCCTACTAGCGCAAGTCCTGCTCGGTTTGGAGTTGGTCGCAAGCCTGCAAACTTTTACATAGGAGTCCTTTTTGGGGGTACTTAGAATGAGGGTGATAGTTTCGAGTGTCTATATGAGCTGCAGTCTGCACTCCTTAAAGGGGTTATGCAGGGCATTACTATAGGGGTTATTAAGGTGGATACTAGGAGTTGAGACTATGGCTCAATATAAGGTCACCCAGTTTTTGGAACATACCATGTGCACGCCTTGATGCTCCAATATGGCGCGCATCATTGCTTTGGGCTGTGCAGGTATGAAGGTCAGGAGTACCGCCTTTCACCAGAGGACTTCCCGAGAACCGGTGTTCCAGAAATTGCGCATGCGCGAGTGTGACACGCAGGTGCCCATTTCAAGCATTTTTGCAGGCTCTAGAGTGAAGGATGCCGACCATAGAATAGCAGCATCGGGCTATCGCGAAGGAACCAAACATTCACTACTCACATCGCGTAGGTCAACCCATGCAGGTAAACCTTTACGCCTGAGACACCAGTTAGCATATGCATGGCCAAGAAGTAGGCATGAGAGAAACCTTCAGGAACTTGACCTGAGGTGCTTGCATCCTCCTAATGCATCTTGCTTGTACATCACGGCACCCTAACCCAGTCTAAAACTTGGGTCATACACGCAGGCAATACTATGCCCGCTGGGTTGTGACTAATCTGAAGAATTCCCGGAGCAAGCAACCATCCTAAAGCACATGTTGCCGATGGTCTGCACAATTCCCCGTTCACAGACGCACTTCAAATGGTGGCCACTCAATCACCATAGAGGATAGAACCCCAAAGCGCTCTGCTTCAGGCTTTGAGAATACTTTGCAATTGCCATACTTCAGCCCTCTCTACAACAACACTACACCCCACCCTCTTAAAGGCGTCTGTTACCTTGAAAGCATCCGTGCAGGACATCGAGCTGGAGGCCGACTCGCATCTTGGCGCTGGGGCCTGCGGCGTCGACGCTAGGCTGCAAGGCCAAGGTAGGGAACAGGGATGTCGGGCGTTTAGGGTTAAGAGCTTTTGGCTTTTAATGTGCATTTTAAATTTTAGGATTGAAGGTTTAGACCCTGAAGGGGTTGAGGCGTTGAAGGTTGGTGCGAGTCTTGGTGCCAGAGGATCAGATATCTGCACTAACACAATATTACAATTACAATGTAGGGAGAGAAGGTTTTCGGGGCGCAGGGTGCAAAGGCTTCTAATAGCTCTTCTTCCGCTGGCTTTTGATTCAGCATTTTGAGGCGAGCGAACATTAAATGTGGGGCAGACATTTCACGACAAGTTTCGCACAAGTGCATATGCCTTGAAAACTGCTAGTTATTGCTTTTGAGTTGTGCGTCGTCTGAGCTGTAAAAGACCATTTACTTACTGCTGGATACTTCACAGTTTACATGGCCCCTGGGTGGCGGCAGAACCCTTGTGAAACTAGCCACCAAGTGCCAGAGCTTTTTCAGCAAATTTGGCTGTCCAAGGTGATGAAGGGCGTCATCAAGCAGACAGGAATTCCTGTGGCTGTGCGGCGCCCGGTTTCCGTGAACCTGTTATTCATGCAGGCTAGTTCAACCTACCTACATGATGACCCACGAAGCTCATCAGAGCAGGCTTCTCTGAGGTGAAGCACGCTATGCTAGCAGCATGTCAGGCTGACTTGTTCTTAGGTGAAAACGGTGAAGGTGGATGACAAGACCAAGCGCGAGCAGCTTCTCAACGAAATCCGAGGTCTCATTGCCGCGGATGGATGCATCAATCTTGTCCACTGGCACCTCGGGCTGTTGCTGAACATCTTTCTCAAAATCTCTATTAATGCTTGCTTTGTGTTGTCAAAGACTAACCCCAATTTAGAGTTTTGCCAGAGTTTTTGCTGAACACTGTCGAAGGTATGCGGGCTTCATGTCCAAGCGCACCAGCGTCGTACATGTTGCTTTGGAGTTCATGGATTTGGGGAGCCTTGCAGACCTAAAGAAACGTCTTGGTGGGGTCGGAGTGCCCCCCTTCTACCTGTCCAATATCACCTACCAGATCATGAATGGCTTAGACTACCTGCACAAGAAGAAGATGTTGCACCGAGATATCAAGCCGGAGAACATCCTTCACAACAGAAGTGGCTATGTCAAGCTCACGGACTTCGGCATTGCCAAGGACCTTGACAAGACCCTAGCCATGGCAGGAACATTTGTCGGGACTGCCACCCGCTTAGTTTTGGTATTACTATATTACTAGTAGTATTGTCTTGCTGTTGGCCAGGGAGGGGCTAGGTAGGCTTGCCACCAAGCAGAATTGGAGAAGCTAAGGTGACCTACATGTCGCCGGAGCGCTGTTTAGGTCAGGATTACTCCTTCGCCTCAGATATTTGGAGCGTAGGCATGGTCATCTATGATTCTCGGCGGCAAGCAGAATTAGGACACTTTGAGGTTCAGCAGCTTTGAATGAAGGGCTCAAAGCTTGCAGTCGTATGACGCGGGCCCAGGAGCTCAGCACTGGAAGATATCCGTTTGCGGACATCGGATCCTTTCCTGTGCCATGCCTGCACCTTTGGAGACTCCTCACATCACTGGGGGATGTCATTTCCACCCGCTCTCTACGACTCCTAGTTCGTGAAAAGATCTGACAGGCTATGAAAGATTCATTCATGTAGCCCCGTGTTATTTCCCGCATAGCTGTGCATCATAGGAGCACGCTGAGCCATGGTACACAGCTGCATGCCGACTCCAACAACTGTGACCGTTCATCTGTACCCATGGCAGTTGGAGAGCTTAAGCCAGTGCCACGGAAGACCAGCCTTAAGAATGGAGCCCAAGGTTCTCTTTGACCACCTCTGTGAGAAGCCTGAACCCAGGTGCTGCCACGTCTGCAGTTTCTAGACCACTCGCAAAC